AACAAAAAGTAGAGCAAGCTGCTGGATTTGCGGTGCCAGTGCTGACTGGGATGGTAAAGGTTCCATGCATGTTTAAATGATGTCAATAGTAACAGAAGAATAAAAAACTAGAGCCAGCAATCGGGACTACTTTACAGTTCCCGGTAGATTTAAAATAATCTCCCTAAAAATGTGGGCTTCAAAATCAAATGCACTATTATGAGAAATTAACAAAAAGCAAAAGACTGTTGTTTAAAGACAAATTCATCGGTTAAATATGTTGAGAACAGTTATTTCATATCTGAGTATAAGCTTAATTAGATTCTACTAATTTATACATGTTTTGAAATAATATGTGCCATAATATATGGATATTTTCACCAAAGTATACATTTGAGATCTTTCCCCACCCACACTAATTTTTCTAAACAATTCTTTCTTTTCTACAGTCTGCTGCTGAGTTTAAAATATAGCTAAAAGGTTTTCGTCTCTGACTAAATCTCTTCTTTTTCTAGCTATATATTTATAAAGACCTCTGAGAATTAGTTCAGCATAATAGCCTGAGACATTTCAGTGTTTGACATATGTAGTATTAAGATAAAAATCCTCAGAACTCTTTTTATATATTATATATGGACATACATATATTACAAATAATAATTTATTAAATATTACATCTTAATTCCTTAGTTTCCCTTCTAGAATATAAAGAGACTATATTGCTGTGTTTATGTTATTTTTACTTCCCCTGACATTATTGTTTTGCTTCTGAATGGACTAGAGAACATATTAATAGCATGGAAAATTTAGCAGTAAGATCTTGAATTCAATTTGGATTGAGGAGCGAAGACGGAAAATTGGTTAAATCAAATATTTAACCCCTCTACAGAATGTAAAATCTCCCTCACATGGTACTGCAGGACCATAATTATTAGCTCATGGCTCTCCCTATGATGGAATCTCCCAGATTGTTGTATATTATCATATGAGTTTCTTTATAAAAAAATCCCTTATTGCAGCATAATCACTTCAATAAAAACATCCAATATTTCAGGGCAAAGCATTTCTTACTTTTATTCATTGCATATGGGATTTTTGTTCTACTTATTTCCTGTTTTACTTTATCTTATTCTGATCTCTGTATACTATTTTATTTTCCTCCTACAACTAGATACAATCAAGCTTTGCAACCTCCTCTCTCCTACCTGTCATTGGAGTCTTCTGACAACAAACAGTGAAAATCTGACATCAAACCATTTAAATAAACAAAAATAAATTTTGAGCAAATGGATATTTTTATTATCTAAGCAAAAGACACAGTTGCAGACTGACAACAAGGATGGAGACGTAAATATGTAATTGTGACAACTGTGTACATGTCATACATAAGTATTTAGAGTTACAAGAACATGCAACACTATTCTATATACATGCACTGATATGTAGATTTGTAGTGGGAGGAAGAATGCTATAAAATGATAAAGTTTAGTGCTAACTGGAGCCCTTTTGGTTGGGTGAATGCCAAAGCAACTTTTAAAATATTTCAAAACAGCTGCCAGCATGTAAAGATTTTAACTGAAGGAGCAGAGTAATGAATCTGAATTACTAATGAGAGAATAAACTTATATTTCGCTTAAGGTCCTTAATGAACATGGAGATAAGCAGATCCAATAAGAAATTTGTCTCTTGTGCATGCAAACCAACCTTCTGAAGCTGTTCATGTAAGGATAAAATACTGACACAGACTTCACATATGCATTTTGAGGTAACCTATTGTTCAAGTCTACTTTGATTATTTTGTGTATTTCTGTTTTTAAAAAGAGTTTCTGGAGGGTAGAAGTCATTAATTCTCTTAAGTATGCATAATTGAAATCTTAGAACTTTGAAGCTAAACGTGATCATTTAACTATTTTATTAATATAATGTATAATTGCAGAGGCTTCAGTGTATGCCGTTTTTAAAGTCTAAGGAGACATCTCACACATTCTTTCTTTTGGGGCAGTTTTATTCTTTGGTCTTCCAAGAAAAACTTGCCTTCCAAAGGGAAGAGAAACAGGGTCAACATTTGAAGAGTAGGTAAGTAGTGAATAAATATAATGTCTGGCCTTTTCTAGTCATAGAATTTGTATTGAAACTAGGGATGTTTTTGTCCATAAATACAACTCTTTATTTATTGTGCAGAAAAAACTTTAAAAGGGCTACTCATTTTTTTAAGAATTCTACTCTTTTGGTCAAAAGTGGTTTCCCTTTTACCTCACTTAGAACACGGACTTTTTCTTGATCAACATCATATAGTTGGGAGTACTGTATAAGGCTCCTGAAGACACACGTTGGATGGAGCCACTAGGTGGAAGTCCCCATCACGGATGGCAGACAAAGCATCACCCACAATGGGCCAGTTTTCAGACAAATGCTATTTTATAGACAACCACTGCCTGCATACTAGCTCTTTTTAAGTATCACACACCAGCATCTGCTGGGCTTCCTAAGGCCTACCCTGCTTGACTTAACCCATAGAAGAAAACTTCTTAATTCCTGGAAACCTCTAGCAAGGGAAGGAACAGAAAAGCCTGGGCAGAGCCTAGGAGTAGTATTTGAGATCTCTTCAGAACCCTTCCAACCATCAAGAGGAGAGGAGGCTACAGCACAGAGACCCAATGATGACCCAGTGGGACAAGGACCCACTTTTGTCGTTCTTATAAGGTGGCTTTTCACCAACCCATCCCCAGCTCCCACGCCCCTAACCCGGGTCCAAGAACCTTGGCGCTTGGCCGCTGAACAAGGATCCCTGAAATGAAAGCCATTAAGCCAGAAAAAACGACCCAGAAAGAGGGAGTCAGGACCTCACTCAGGTCTTCAACTAACTCGTGGGATCCCCCGCACAAGCCACAGATGCTCATTACGATTCTTTTTACGTGCAACACGTGGGGGACGAAGCAGTTTCATATCTCCTCGTATTATCTGCCGTCCAAAGCATTTTCTTTGAGAGGAAAATGAAAACGCAGCTGCGCCTTGGGCCCGGCCAGCGAGAGTGAGGCTCCCTCCCTCTGTCTCCCCGCGGCGGCTGCCCGGCGCGGGAGGCTCCTCCGGAAACTGACTTGGGTTAGGGAAGCTCAGAGGTTGCCCTGGCAGGGCAGGACACCGCTCTTGAGAGGGCTCGTCTTTGTGCGGTTTGGGCGTTTTCCAGAGCCATCAGGGTGGGAGGGGACGCCCGGGTCTGCAGCGAGGGCAGCGTCTGGCCCCTACACCACCGTGTGCAGGGGCACTGGGCTGAGCCGCCTCGCCACTGTCCGTCTTGGCAACTTCTGGCCAATCTGTCCTGGCTCTCTGAGCCGGGGGATGGGGGCGGCAGTGCCCTCGGCTCAGGGTTTAAGCAGGTGTCACACTGGGGCGGGGCGCTATCGGACGAGGGACCTGGCGGTGCGGCAGGGTCACCACGCCTCGCTGAACCCAACTTGGGTTTGCGCGGAGGGTGCGGCGACCCCTAGTCCCCCGTCTGCGGTGCCCAGGCGTGGGATTACAATAGTGCCAAGGAGGAGAGGACGCTGAGGGAAGCCACCAGCAGCACCAGCAAAGCCAGGCAGCGAGAGTGGGCGCGCAAGGGGAATGGAGCCTGAGCCTTGCATCCCTCGGAGGCTATGCCCAAAGCTCGAAACTTCGCTCCAGCTCACCAGCCGGAAGAGCGAGGAAGAAATGGGCAATGGGGGCTCCTGGGCAGGGGATGGGGGAAACGATCAACTTCCACAGTCCACCCCCCCTGGCCAAGTGTGGAGTGCAAGTCGTCACTTAAAAGACGCATCCAAACTGCAATAATCTCTCCTCTCCCTCCAATGAAAGACGATGTAACAATGTAGAGAAGTAACAGAGACGCGAGGAAATAAATGCACGTGTTTTCTTTTTGTTTCCCTGGTGGTTGGAATTTGCTGAGTTTATCTCAATTGTGGCTGCTAATTTATTCGTTTCATCGATCGCAAGGGGCGTGTAGAGATGGGTCAGTGGGGCGCACCCGGATCCCCGTAGTAGGACTCAGTCCACACCTCCCAAGTTTGCCCAAGACCAACCCGTCCGCCTACCAGGAGCGGGAAGAGTCCTTTCTTATAAGGGGAACAAACTCTCCATTGCACAAAAGTCCCCCCAACCCCTCGCACACCATCTCTGCTTGATGAGTATCAAGTTCTGGAGGAGCCCAACTTGAGCTTGGCAACACTCGCGCTGCACAGTGCGCGGAAGGCAGGCAGAGAGGGGTCCCGGCGGGGAGGGGACGTTCAGCGCCCCCATTCCTACTCGCTGGGGCGGGAGTCCAGGTTGCTGGAAGCTGCTAGCCTGCCTGGATGGTGGTTATTTCTCTAGAGAAAGGAGGGGAGAGAGCGCGCTTCAGTCCAGCACTTTGGGTCGGAAGTGCGCGGCGTGCGGGTGTGTGTGTGTGTGTGTGTGTGTGTGTGTGTGTGTGTAGAGGGGGGCGGGAAAGAGATGCACCCTCCACTGTCCGTCATTCCCTTGCACCGGCCAAGTCCTCGCTAAGCCTCCCGGTGCATCCTTCCTCCGCCACCTCCCCCTTCTCTCAGCTGGGCTCGCGCGGCGCAGCCAGAGCAGCCAGTGAGAGCAACATCCTGAAAAGAGGGGGGAGCACCACTGCCCCCCCAAAGGGAAAAAAGCCCCACCCTGACACATTTTGCTGTTTGCAAGTCCCTCGCACGCCCCCCGCACCTCCTCCTCGCGCTCGCGGCACCCCCAGCCCGCTGCGCGCACATCAAAGCGCCTCTTCGCCGCGCTCAGTGGCCGCGGCTCACTAATGGGATTGCAGG